CCTGTAATCTCAGCACTGGGGAGGCCGAGGCCAGCCTGGGCTGCATAGTGAGACCCTGTCCCCCTCCCCCCCCAGAAGAATGTCCCAAAATAAAAAATTTAAAAGGACTCAGTGTGAAGGCCCTGGGTTCAACCCCCAGAACTATAGCGGAAGAAGAACAAAAACAAGCCAGGAAGGAGCCATGGGCCCAGGAGACAGAGGGCTCTGTGCAAATGCAGGCTGGCTGGTGGTTTTCCCCCGGGCGGACTGTGAGGAAGGCGGAGTTGCCTCCCCTCCTGCACCATACCATCTTCCTCTCCCGGGGACAGGCCCTTCAGATACGGGATCTCACTGCGCTGCTCTCAGCCTCTGGGTCCCAGGAGGAAGGCGGTGATGGAGTGGAGGGATGAGGCGGGGGCGGGCAGTGTGTCTCCCAGCCCTGGAAACCAGGAATTCTGAAGGAAGAATCCTGGCCAAGATGTGCTACCAAGTCTGGATTACTTTTTAATTCATGGTAAAATACAAACAGGAAATTTAAATTCTTAACTTTTTGTTTTTTAAAGAGACATATCTGGCTGTTTCCCAGGCTGACCTTGCATTCTTGGGCTCAAGTGATGCCCCTGGCTCAGCCTCCTCATTGGGTGGGACTGTAGGTGTGCCCCATTGTGGTGGGCTGATCGCCACCATTTTTAGATGGAGAGTCTGGCGGTGATAGAGACATTGTCCTGCAACCAGCGCCCCCTGCAGCCCTTCCTCGGCTTCTCAAGCAGGAACTGTACCTACCAAACACTGACTCCTGAGTCCTCTCCCCAGCCCCGGCACCCCACTCCCTTCCTGTCTCTGCTTTGGCTCTTCCAGGAGCCTCCTGGAAGAGGAATCGCACACTTGCCCTTCTGTGTCTGGCTGATTTTGTTTAGCATACTGTCTTCAAGGCTGATCCATGTTGCAGGCTGGAGTCCTGATTACTTTTATCTCTGTTAATTTCCTCTGTAATCTGTGACTTTTATCAGCATCATCCATTCTCCTGTGTCCAGTGTGCATTTTTCTGTTAATGATAGTTTGTCATTTCTTTCCTTAATTCTGTCAACTCTTTCATTCTCCATCTATAATCATTTCTATCTCTCATTTAATCAAAGAGACTAAGTTTTCTTTGTTTCTTTACAAATGTTAGGTTTAAAGCATATTGATTTTTTTTTTTGGTACCGGAAGTCGAACTCGGAACCTTATGTTTGCAAGGCAGGTGGCAACGGAACCACTGAGCTAAATCCCTGGCCCGAAAGCATATTGATTCTGGAGAATTTCTCTGCCAGTGGGTGTTCTCCCGTTCTTCAGTCCTGGCTTGCTTTTCTCTCTGCTGTATCTTGGCTGGAATCTCCTGCTGCCTCCCTCGGTAATCGGCTGATTCTTGATCTGCTGTATTTACCTTGGCGTTTTCTACTGTTCTCTTAAATGCAAGCTGCCTGGCTGTTGTCACTGGCCTGCAGTCTCTGCGTAGCTCTTCTGCTTCTTTGGTGATAGAGGGCTTTGCCCTGAATTAACTGGAAGTCCGTGCCCCCTAATCCTGTCCATGCAGAAGCAGTGAGTCAGCCCGGATGAGCTGTGCACACGTCCACGGAGGACTCCCTTGGGCTTTGTGTCACTTCCTCTCCTTGTCACAGGCAAGCAGGTCATTCTGGTTGGAAGCGGGGCCCTTGTGATGGCCAAGGCACCTGGGATTTTGATGCAATGGATCCTTTCGTTTATCATAGTTGATTATCCGGCAGTGGTCTTTTTCCCTGTAAAGGATTGATGTTTGGTCTTTCATGATTCTTATACTTCAAAAACAAAACAAAAAAACTCTTTCCTGATCTTACCTGATACTCCATCCGTCAGTTGGCCTGAATGTCCTTGAATCTCACCAGGCGGAATAATGACGATCAGGTCAGGCTCTGGGGTCCGCATGCCTGAAGTCACACATTGGCAGTGCCACCTGCTGCCTGATAAGCACATGCAGTTTATTTAACTTCTCCAGGCCACAGTTTTCTCATCTTTCAAATGGGCCAAGGGTTAGTACTTACTGCAGAAGGTTGGTGGGAGGGCGAAGTGAGGATTAAATACAAAGACTCAGAGCAAATCTGACAGTGTCAGTGCTCAGTAGATGTTAGTTATTGTCATATTCCTTGTAGTCTAGGTTCAAGGAAAATATTCCTCTTCACCGTTCTTTCAAGGTGCTCCAGAGGATGAAATTCAATAATATCTGTTGGGTGTAGTGATGCACACCTGTAATCCAAGCTATGAGGGAGGCTGAGACAGGAGGACCTCAAGTTCAAAGCCAGCCTGGGCAATTTGGCAAGACCTTGTCCCAAAATAAAAAACAGAAAAGGCCAGAGTGGAGCTCAGTGGTAGAGTTCAATCTCCAGTACCACACACACAAAAAATAATAATAATTATAACATCTGGAAAGCCCATAGAACAGAGCTTGGCACTTGACAGGCTCTCAGCATGCTGGGAGAAGGTTAAGTAATGCATCTCTGCATTAGGCCTCCGGGAGGGTGGCACTTGGGGAGAGGGGATCCCCAGAGTTTGTCTCTGCACTGGACTGGAACTCCTCTTTCCTCCCTAAATGCTTACTGAGTGCCTCTGTCTGTCCACTACCCACAAATCCAGTGAGTCAGATGCCTCCAGGCCCGAAGGCAGGGCGGTCTCTCTCCACACATCTCCTTATCTCCTTCCTTGACCTTGAAATATTAATAAGTAACTGTACGTACAGGCAGGAGCCTATGATTAGAACTTTAAATACATTCCCTAAACTAAACTGAGAAATAGTCATATAATTCTACTAACAGATGGACAGATGCACAAACCCGGCCTTGGATAATCTCAAACTCACCTGTTTCAGCTTTATTATGGGCTCAGGTGTAAGCTTCCTATGATTCTCAAGAAGTCTGAAGAGAAATGTGGTATTTATAGTTCATGCCTCCAAACTTTGCCACTGAACTTCCCACATCTCACTAAAATTCAGGGGCTCTGTGATTGAAGGAGGAGGGGGAAGGAAGAGGAGGAGAAGGAAGAAGAGATGACTCTGGCTATCTCTGCCAGCTATTTCTTCTCCTCCTCTCTTGCATGCTCTCCGAGTGTGATGGGGCATTGCTGCACACATCGAAGGGTCCTTCCAAAACTGACCTCCAGAGCTGTGCATGGTGGTGCACACCTGTAGTCCCAGCACTCGGGAGGCTGAGGCAGAAGGATTCCCACAGTTCAAGGCCAGCCTGGGCTACATAGTGAAACCCTGTGTCCAAAAAAAAAAAATAGGGCTGGGGATTTAGCTCAGTGGTTTCGCCACCTGCTGTGCAAGTGCAAGGACCTGAGTTCGATCCCCGGTACCAAAAAAAAAAAAAAAAAAGACCCCCATTGGCATATAAAGACTTTGAGAGCTGGGTGTAGTGGCACGCAGGTGTAATCCCAGCACTCTGGGAGGCTGAAGCAGGAGGATTATAAGTTCAAGCCCAGCCTGGGCAATTTAGTGATTTAGTGAGATCCTGCCTCAAAATAAAAAATAAAAAGGGCTCAGGATATAACCCAGTACAAAGGCCCTGGTTCAGTATCCAGAACTGCGAAAAAGGAGGGTATGGATTTAGAGAGTTTCATGGAACCCACATCTAGAATATATCCAAGCATACGAAGTCAGACCATCATCTCCTATGTGATTAGCATTGAATTCTGCTGTAGGAAGCGGACAACCCAAAATGACAGTAACAGGGATTTAGCTCAGTGGGAGAATACTTATCTAGTGTGCAGAAGACTTCGGGTTTGATCCCCAGGGAAAAAGAAAAGTTAACAGTGGCTCAAAAAAGGTAAAAATTTGCTTTTCTCCCTAGGAAAAGTTTGGATAGGCAGCCAGGGCTGCAACAGAGGCTTGCTCCTTTTATCACAGTGTGGTTCTCAAGCACATTTGCTGGGTTGAGAGGCTACTGCAATGTGACTCATTCCACCTTCCTCCAGCAAGCAGGAAGGAGAAAGTGGGCCAGGTAGGGCATGCCTTGCCCACTACAAATATTTCCTGTTCAGGCCAGGTGGCGCATGCCTGTACTCCCAAGACTCAGGAGGCTGAGGCAAGAGGACTGCCACATTTGAAGCCAGCCTCAGCTACATAATGAGTTCAAGGCCAGCCTGGACTACATAGCAAGATCCTGTCTTGAACAACCAAGAAAACAAAAAAGCATTTTTGTCCTGAAATTGCACAAAACATGTTGATCCGCACCCCAGAGCAGCCAAGTGGCCACGGCCATCTGGAAGGGAGGCTTGGTTGCGTGGTCCTTGTCACATATTGGCTGAGCCTCAGGCTCTGGCGTTGGAGAAGAAGGAGCCCTGGGCAGTCTCTTTCATCTGTTTTCTCCCTATTAGTTAAGGTCATCTCCATTTCTCTAGACAAACCTCTGCTCCGTTTCCGACCCTCACCCTTCCTAGCTGACTGCACGGCAGCTCTTAGCCCAGCTCCACAGGTCTTTTCTGTTCCAAAGCAGCACAGGCTGCTGGTCCCGTTGAAAAGATGATCACCTCCAAAGCTGAGCCTGGGCCAGGGATCTTGCAGGGCTCCCCCTTTGGGATGGGATGCAGCGGTTGTCTGCCTGGAACTTAGGGCAGGGGTGTTTAATCCAGAGCCCCGAAACTCCCCGGCACACTCAGCATATGGCAGAAGATGAACAGCACACATAGCCCTGAGCAGCACTTGGCCAGTGGCCCCTGCCTACCGCTGCAGAGAATCTCCTGAAGCGCGGCCCCTGAGGGCCCCAGCCTGAGAAACAGGCTGCATGGCTCTGAGTCCATTTCCACCCCAGCCCTTCTGCCAAAGCTCCAGGCTGGGCCCCTCTGGAGAGATCCCCTCCTGACCGGTCCTCAGCCACAGGGAGGCTCTGGACACAGGGACATCCGGGCAGCTGGGCTGAGGAATGGGGGCATCCCCAGTGGCTCTCAGGGCAGAGACCGGCCTTAGAAAACAGCCGATGCTCACTGCCTGTTCTCTCCTGGCCCTGCCCTCGCAGGCCTCAAATCCACTGTGGCAATCCCGGGGCTCCACTGCGGTGTCTTCGGGAGGCCGTTTCCGCTGCCCATCATGCAGGCATGAGGTTGTCCTGGACAGACATGGTGTCTACGGTCTGCAGCGAAACCTACTGGTGGAGAACATTATCGACATCTACAAGCAGGAGTCCTCACGGTGAGCTGCCACCCTACTCCCTCTGTCCCGGCAGGGACCCAGCTCTGGGCCTTGCCAGCCTTCCATGAGTCTGTCCCTCAGAACATCCTTGCCTGCTGGGACTCAGCCTGTTCTCAGATCACGTCTCTTCTACCTCTCGGCAACTTCTCTTCCCCAGAAGATGAGCACTGCAGGAATGGCTCGCCCGGGTCAGGCTCAGCACTGACTGCAGGGCCCAGAAGGTGGTGGCAGCTGGGGAGGCAAAGAGAGGGTTCACGTTCAGGGCCAACCACAGCCCGGCTTAGCCCCTGACCCTTGCTGCTGCCCTTCTGGCTCCCTCCAGGCCGCTGCACTCCAAGGCTGAGCAGCACCTCATGTGCGAGGAGCATGAGGACGAGAAGATCAACATCTACTGCCTGACTTGCGAAGTGCCCACCTGCTCCCTCTGCAAGGTCTTCGGTGCCCACAAGGACTGCGAGGTGGCCCCGCTGCCCACCATTTACAAGCGCCAGAAGGTATCATGGGGGGATGGGGAGTGCTCAGGGCAGGGGCAGCCCCCTTCTGCACTTGGTTGTAAGCCTAGCAGGTCAGGGCTACAGTCCCAGCTCCACACTCTCAGCAAGACCTCCAGGAAGCTATCTGACCTCTCCAGCCCTAAGGTCCCCCATTTGTGGAAGAGAGAATAAAAGTGCCTCTTTCTGAGAGTCCTTATGAGCATGGATGAAAACAGAGTGCATGGTGGACCAGACACTGTCAAGGGCCTCTCACTACCATACAGTGAATGGTTTCTGCATAAACCTAGCTTTAAAATGAGATTGGCTGGCTCGGAAGACGTAAAGGGGTTCTGGAAGGGGGAGAGGGCGGAATGGGAAAGGCAAGGGGAGGCAGAATCCTGCAGTCAGCACAGAAAGAACATTTCCCGGAAGATCAACGCTGGCACCCTAAAGTGGGGGAGCTGCATCAAAGACTCCCCAGGGCCAGGGATTTAGCTCAGTGGTTTCGCCGCCTGCTGCGCAAGCGCAAGGACCTGAGTTCGATCCCCAGTACCAAAAAAAAAAGACTCCCCAAACTCCAAGTTAAATTGGAATCCTAGGCACTAAGCGGCCAATTGCACCTCCTGTCTTTTAATAGAAGCAAATGCAAATTCTGCTGGAGGAAAAATTGACCCTTATGTTCTCCTTAGATTAAGATCAACAAAATATTAGCTCACAATTGACCATACAGAAAGGAATTTACTCCACAAATGAAGTTGGCAGAAACAAAAATTATAGTTTAGACCCTGGGGTAATTCGGAGGTTAAAATTATTACAGAATAGAAAGTCATTATGACTAAAATGGTTTTTGAAAGATGGAATTTTTTAAAAAAGCAATAATAGAATATCAAAAATGACCACACAGTCACCAGCCCTGGTGGCACATCCTTATAATCCCAGTGCTTGGGAGGCTGAGGCAGGAGGATCACCACAAATGATCAAGGCCAGCCTGGACTACATAGTGAGACCCTATCCCAAAAACAAACAAACAAACACCACCACAATAACAACAAAAAATGACCATGAAGATTTGACAAAGAACCAAATAGAGATTTTAGATATAAAGAATAATTGTTAAAAGAAAGCATTCAGTGGATGAAATAAGTGATAGATTTCTTTGGAGAGAGAATTATTGAGCATGACAAGAAGACTGAACACAGCCTGACCACAGCCCCAGGAAGTGAGAAGGCCGAGGAGAAGAAGGTCTAACATAAGTCCTGTCAGACTCCAGACTGAGAGAATAAAGAGCACGGAGAGCCAGGTGTGGTGCCGCTCACCTGTAATCCCAGCACACAGGAGGCCAAAGCGGGAGAATCTCCACAAGTTCCAGGCCAGCCTGGGCTACCTAGTGAGACCCTGTGTGGGATGGGGGCAACACAGTGTTACCTGAATGGTGTCACTGAGAAAGTTTCAGACCTAATGGAAGACATGCGTCTACAGATGAAGCATCCAGCCGGTGCCTGCCCACGGTGGGTGCTTAGGGTTAGGGTTGGGGTGCCTTGTGCTTTCCCATTTGGTGGCGGAGGGCTGCTGCCCGCCCACCCACCCACAGAGTGTGGACACCTGGCAAGGGTGGGGAGGAGCTGTCTCCTCCTCGGTACCTGGCTGGGGTGAGAGGGGTGCAGCTGCCGGGTCTGAGCACTGGCCTGTGTATATGGCAGAGCGAGCTCAGCGACGGCATCGCCATGCTGGTGGCAGGCAACGACCGAGTGCAAGCTGTGATCACACAGATGGAGGAGGTGTGCCAGACCATCGAGGTGAGCCTGGGCAGGAGGGGGACAGAGGCCCCCTGAGGGCAGCAGAGAGCCGCTCCTCTCTGACCTCCGGCCAAACTGGCCAGATTTCTGGGCTCCTGGAAGTGGTAGGGTGTGCTTAGCCAGGCTGCTTGGTTTGAATCCCGGCCCCACTGCTCACTAACTCTGTGACTTTGGTCTAGTTTCTTAACTTCTCTGTGCTTTGGTTGTGTTTTTAACTGTATAAAACGGTGATGAACTGGGTGGGCGTGGTGACGCACACCTGTGATCCTAGCACTTGGGAGGCTGAGGCAGGAGGATTACTGTGAGTTCAAGGCCACCCTAAATTACAGAGCAAGACCCTGTCTAAAAAAATAGTCAATAAAATGATGATGATAATGATTTAATGACTACCTCCTGGGTCTTTGGGGGAATTAAATGGAATAATGCAAATCAAACCTGGGTCAGGGATAGGGAGGGATAGCACCCAGGGAAGCCACTGTGAAATGCCATACTGCTATTGTTATGAAAGAGATCCGGCCCATATTCTGACAGTGTACCTAAGGCAGAGGTAACCCCATTAGGTCAGGTCGGTTTCCTTGGCTCTCTCTGAATCGTGTTAGGAGGGGAGCGGGACCAGTATCCAGCTGTGGTAACTATGGGGTCACAGCCTCGCCTTCCTTCTTGCTCCTGTCTTTTAGGACAACAGCCGAAGGCAGAAGCAGCTGTTAAACCAGAGGTTTGAGACCCTGTGTGCGGTCCTGGAGGAGCGAAAGGGCGAGCTGCTGCAGGCGCTGGCCCGGGAGCAGGAGGAGAAGCTGCAGCACGTCCGCGGCCTCATCCGCCAGTACGGAGACCACCTGGAGGCCTCCTCCAAGCTGGTGGAGTCGGCCATCCAGTCCATGGAAGAGCCGCAGATGGCGCTGTACCTCCAGGTGGGCCCCGGGGGAGGGGAGGCCAGGCAGCAGCCCCTCACGCGCTGGAGGTGGGCTTGGCGCCTGAAGACCCGGGTTCGAATCTTTCCTCTCCTACTTACTCGCCCGCGACCTTGGGCATTGTCTCTCCGACGTTGGGCTACGCATTCCCACCTCCCCGCAGGACCGTGGGGAGAACGCGAGAGGGGCTCGGCCGGGGCTGGCCCAGGGCTTACTTCTGCCCTCCTCTTTTTCTCCCCTGCAGCAGGCCAAGGAGCTGATCAATAAGTGAGTAGCGCGGGGGCGGGGGAGGGAAGGGGCTGCACGGACTCCTCTCCCTGAGCCGCTGTGGCCGCGGCAGGGTCGGGACCATGTCGAAGGTGGAACTGGCCGGCCGGCCGGAGCCGGGCTACGAGAGCATGGAGCAGTTCTCCGTGAGCGTGGAGCACGTGGCCGAAATGCTGGGTACCATCGACTTCCAGCCCGGTGCGGACCCGGGAGGGCACCGCTCGTGCTCGGGCCGCGGGGCGGGGTGGGGTGGGGCGGGGCGGCGCCCCGAGCAGTGGGGGCGCCGCCTCACGTGTCCTTTCGGCCCAGGCGCTTCCGGAGAGGACGAGGACGAAGAGGTGGCGCTGGACGGGGACGAGGGCAGCGCGGGGCCCGAGGAAGGGCGGCCCGACGCGCCCGAGGGTGAGAGGGCTGGGGCAGAGCCCGGCTGGAGCACCCGCCGGCACCCGCAGCGCGGCCGCGCTCTTCCCGCCTTCCGCTGCTCTGGGGCTTCGGGGTCCGGGGGCGCCCGCAGGGACCAGAGAAGCCCGAGTGGCTGGGGCGAGCTGTGCGCGGGCTCGGGGCCGCCCGGTTCCTGCAGCGCCCGCCCAGCCGGCCTCCTCTCGCTCGCACAGGGCCGCACTGAGCGACCACCGCCGGGCCGGAGCCGGCGCTCCCCGGGCCGGGCCAGGGTGGCAGAGGACCCGCGCGGAGACCACCCCGCCACCGCCAGCGCGGACCCGGGAGGCCTCAATAAAGCAGTCTTGGTCTCAGACCCGCATCTCCTTCCGCCGCCCACTCCCGCAGCCCCTCGGCATCCGGGTGCCTCCTGCGCCCCGGGCCCCCAGCTCGCACACAGTTCCCACCCTGGTGTGGTTGCCCTCGCCCCCATGACAGGAACCAAAGGCTCGTTAGCATTTTTATTAAAAAACAGCCGCGTAGAGAGCGCTCAGGACGTCTCCGGGCAGCTCCGGTCCTCACGGTCCAGCCCCGGGGAGGGCGAGGCTCCCGCGCTCCGGCCCGCCGGTCACTTGCCCACCGAGTCGAACAGGACGCGGTTCTGCTCGGCGCGCTCCCGCTGGCTCTGCGTCCGGGCCAGCTCCAGCAGGGCCCGCAGCAGGTGGAAGGTGAGGTCGATGGACAGTGGAGGGTCGTCCCGTCGCAGCCGCCCGCCTGCCGTTTCGGATCTCCAGCCGGCGAGCCCCGCGCGTCTCGGGAAGCGCTCGGCCAGCAGCAGGAGGAGCGCGCGGGCCCCGCCGCCCGGGCTCCGCGCCCCGCGGCTCCATCGCAGACTCGCGTCCTGGACCCCGGCCGCTGCCACCGGACTCCCCGGGCCGCTCCCCGGGCGCGGCTGCGCCAGGAGCAACAGCCCTACCAGCAGCACCGCACGTGCCGCCTGCCTCATGGTGCCGGGGCCTGGACACAAGGGGCGGCTAATGAGGTGCGCGACTCCCTTCCCGCGCAGCCCAGCGCCCCCCGACCTCCCAACCTCCCTCCGTCCCTCCCTCCGCGGCCGCCCGGTGGTCTCTGCGCAGGGCGCAGGCTGGCGCGAGGGAATCTGGACGGTCGGTCGCTCCGAGCCACTCACAGGTTGTCGGAGAGCCGAGAGCACTGCCGGTGCGAGGCGGAGCTCGTGTCTGTGCTGGGGCGGGCTGAGGGCGCCTTGGGGAGCACGGGGTCTGTCCCGGGACCGCCGCCAGCCTTATACAGTGCCAGGACAGCTCCGTCTGACGTCAGCGGAGGACATCCACTGATTGTAGAAACAGTGACAGCAGCAGCTCCGGGCGCCCCACTGTACACCAGACCTCGTGTCCCTGGGGCCGGCGCTGGAAGCGGTGTGGGACGCAGGCCCGGCATAATGATTGCTCCAAGAGCCACGAGGGCCCTCAGCCCCGCTTACAACAGCTAGCAGTGACCCGGCCCGGTCCTCAGACCGGCCAATCCCGGGGCTTCCGCCTGTGCTCCGAATTGGGAGGCGGGCCCTCGACGCTGTCCGTGGTCCTGACCCCGTCCTCCTTGGCCCAGAAACTGGCGCCCATAGGTGCTGGGCGAACGCTGCGCTCCTCACACCCTCAGGCCCCAGCTATACGGCTCTCAAACTGAGGAAAGCAGGTGCTCGCTGTTGGCACTCCACGAAGAGGCCTCTGCCTCCACTAAAGTCTGCCAGGGTTCCCGACCTTCTTACAGCCCCAGAACCTGAGTCCACAGCTGTGCAGTGGAGGCACCATATGAGGAGGGGCTCTCAGCTTCAGACCACAGAAGGCAGGTCTGTTTTCGGAGTTGACACGAAGTAATTTAGCAAAGGTCTGTGTCTCTCCTGGGAGTAACAGAAGTACTCTTATGCATTTGACCTTCTAGTTAAGATCACTGGGTAGGACATAAGAAAACTGGGTCCAAGTTTCTACTCTGCCACTAACTCCTACAGGGAAGAGGTCACACATCTCTATGGACCTCAGTGTCCACATCCGTAAAAGATGACTGGGACAGGAGGGCCTTGGCTTCTTTCCAGCTACAGCCATGGTTAGTTTTCATGTCTTACTTATGACCTCTGCTGGTTCTAGATTACATACTTACTAACATATGGACTGAAGCACTATATACAGCCTGAGGGGGTCTCCGAAGAACACCAGGCCTGGGAAGGGTTCCCCTAACAGATGTGTCTATGGAAAGAGTGAAGCGGCATTGGTCGGTATATGGATGTAAAGCTGACGAGGCCATATGGCTTCACAAAGATTTATGGAGTACATACTTTGTATGCAGTGTGAGGAGACTACAATTGTGTGCTGTACATGACATTTCAGTCAATGGCAGACTATGTACACAACTGTGGGCCCACAAAATTATAATGGAGCCAAAAAATTCCTATCACCTAGTAGCACAGTAGCTGCTACATCATACTGCAATGCATCTTCCTGTTTGTGGTCATACTAGTGGAAACCAAAGTCCTGTGTCGCCGATTATATAAAAGTACAATGTGTACACTTATGTACAGTACAGAAGACTTGACAATAAATAATAACGTTATTGGTTTATTATACTATATCATTATTTTAGAATATACTCATTTTTTTTTTTTTGGCACCGGCGATCGAACTCGGGTCCTTACGCTTGCGCAGCAGGCAGCGAAACCACTGAGCTAAATCCCCAGCCCGACTCCTTATTTTTTAAAAAAAGCTAACTGTAAAACAGTGGGCCGTTAGGCAGGCAGCGGCCTCAGACATCTTGAGTTTACCATGTCCTGTTTGCATCACAAGGCCACGCTGAGTGACTGACCTATACCATGCAGGTGTGTGTAAGGACACTTCATGGTGTTCACACAAGACGCAACTGCCTAATGGTACTGTGCTCAGAATGCATCGAGCGCCTGTGAATGTATCATAAAGGCTTCAGTGATTTCAGAAGTCAGTACACAGTTCAGAGTGAAATGTGCCACTGCAGAGTGCTCTGGGCAGCAGCCCCACCTCACGGACACTGATCTGCAAACTGAAGAGCTGTGAGCATTCAGGGTCACTGGGTGCATCGAGGCGGTGGGAATGATGGAGCAGGGCAGGGTTAGAGCTGATGTGCCTTCCAGGATAGGTAGGAATTCCAGATGATAGCAACACCCTGGACAACGGCCAACCTAGCAAGAGAATATCACTGTGAAGAAGGGGATGAGGCAGGGCATAATGGCACATGCCAAGGATGAGGCTACACACGAGCGAGAACAGCCAGGGCAACTTAGCAACATTCTGTTTCTTTCCTTCTTGTTGGGAGCAATGCTACATAATTTTAGGGGAAAATCATTTGGTTAGCCTAGTTCTCCTGCCTACAACCCAGCTATGGAATTCTGAGACATAATTGCATTTTGGCCTCCGGTCACAACTGAGACCTCAATGATCCAGTGATGCTGCCTGTGAGTCTCCAGCACAAGAAACATCCTGGGAGCTGAGAACATCCTGGGAGGAACAAACATCTACTGAGTTCCTCCTTGTTCTTGGATTGTTACATCTTATTTACCCAGGATGTACTGAACTCTCGGCAAGTCACTTGTTACACTTTGTTTCTCTCGATGTACTGAGTACTGAATAAAAGGTGTGGTAAGGTGGGGGTCTTTGTCTTTGCTGCCCTGAGCAGCACTGATCAGACCCAAAGCTCAGCTTCTTCTCAGTCTCATTTTTCTACCTTTCCTGTAATTCGCCGTGTGCTGCCGTGGCTCACAGGAGACCAGGACTCACTGCAGAGGTTCTGGTAACATCCCCTTCCCCTGTTCCCTACATTTTCTTTTTTTTGGTACCAGGGATCGAACTTGGGACCTTGCACTTGTGAGGCAGGTGGTGGAACCACTGAGCTACATCCCTGGCGCAAACATTGTTCCAAAATAAAAAAAATAAGGGGCAGGGATGTAGCTCAGTGGCACCACACCTGCCTGGCAAGTGCAAGGTCCTGAGTTCGATCCCTGGTACCAAGAAAAGAAAAGAGAGGGGAGGGGAGGGGAGAGAAGGGCTAGAGACAGCTCAGTGGTTACAGTGCTTGCCTAGCATTCCTGGGCCCTGGGCCCAACCCCCTTGGGGAGAAAAAGTATAGAGAGCACATAAGGAAACAGAAGGGATGAGATAAAAGGAGGGACTGTCTTGAACATTTTCAGATCTGGGTCTCCTTCCTTCAGCCCCAGTGGAGGGACTGCATCCTGGACCAGAGAACTAGGAGCTCAGATTCTGGTGCAGTCCTCAAGCTCTGCCTCCCACACGAGAGCCTCAGTGGCTAACTGCTCCCAGCAGTTCTCCTTCCAGACATGGCTGTCACCCACATGCCTGTCCAGGCCCTATCTCAAAAATGGGGCTCGAAGCCAGGGCTTTGCACTGACAAGCTACATCCCCAGCCCTCTCGTCTACTTTTTGAGACCAGGTCTCACAACATGGCCAAGTTGCCCAGGCAGGGCTTGTACCTTCTTCCCCTGCGGTTCTAGGAACCAAGAACAGGTCCTTGCACATGCTAAGCCAGCCAACCACCACTGAGCTACATCCACAGCCCAGCAAAGTAGTGCCTTCTTTTCTTTTCCTTTTATTTTTTTGTCATACTGGGGACTGAACCCAGAACCTTTGCACTAAGCTACACCCCAGCCCTTTTTATTTCTTATTTTTGAGACAAGGTCTCAAGTTGTCAGGCTGGGCTCCAATTTAGAATTCTCCTGTTGTAGCTTCCAAAGTGCTAAGATTACAGACAGGCACAAAGTAGCACCTTCTTTATTTTAAATTAAACTGGATCTGGTTTCAAAGAATGTTGCAAAAGATCTTAATGTTTAGGATTTGGCTCATAAGTCTGTGTTCTTTTTAGTTATGCTATTCATGTAAATTTTGACCATGTCCCCTCTGAAAAGTTTTTCTTTCTGTCCTTTCTTTCTCTTTCCTGTTTTGATGTTTTGAGTTTTTAGACAAAGTCTCACTGTAGTTCAGGCTGGCCTTGAACTCACTCTGTAGCCCAGGCTGATCTCAAATTTGTGGTAATCCTCTTGCCTTAGCCTCCTAACTGCTAGGATTACAACCATTATACCACCATCCCTGGCCTGAAAAGTTTCCTATTTTTCTGTTCCCAAGACCCCTGCAAGCATTTTAACAACTCATCTTGCGTTCCACTCCTTGAAGTTCAGCAATGACCTTTATTATTAGGGCAAAGTAATATCTTGCAGTGAACTAAACTGACCAAATTCTTTGTTGGCCTTTAGGTCTCTCTTTTCTTTTGCTTTTAGACAAAGTCTCATTAAGTTGCCCAGTCTGGGCTAGAACTTGTGATCCTCCTGTCTCAGCCTCCCAGAGTGCTGGGATTACAGGTGCACTCCACTGCACCCGGGCAGACTTTTCTGTCTAGCCTAGGCTGCAGCACCACAGCCAGGCACTGTCCCTGACCATATGGAGAGCTCGGGTGGGATGGAGACAAGGGTTTCGGAGGCAGGATTACCCCTAGGAAGAGTACAGCAAGGTCAGTGGGGGACACCCTGGGACAGTTTCTATAAAGGGTTGGAGGTTCTGAATAAAAGGTGTGGAGTCTAAAGAGCTCTGACCAGGGCAGTATGTGCTGACTTGAGGGTCTATTCTGCTTACAACGGTTGGTAGTATAGATCTTTTGGGTGTAGGGATCTGTCATACCTGTAGTGCAGGGGGACCAGGTAGAAGTTGGCTAACTGCACAGCAGGCCAGAGCTACAAGAAGAGAAGGTGAAAGTCAATTGGCTGCCTCGCTGATCAGGCCTCCAGCCCCAGCACCTTCCCTGGCCCTGTCCTGTCTCTGCACACAGACATGGGCTGAAAGGGAGTGCCCAGATGGGAATGAGAGAGCAATGCCAGTGGAGGGATTCCTGTGTCAGGAGAACCCAGTTAAATCCTGGGCATTTCTGGACTTCAGGAAGCGGGAGAGCAGGCAGGAGGGGTCAGCTCTTACGTAGTAGTTGGTGATGAGGGCATCAGGATAATCCTGAGGAGACAGAGAAGGAACAAATTAACACCTGGACCTCCAGGCAGCCACCACCTCCAAGTGTAAATATCACACACATGGACTCCGGATCCAATAGCACACTGCTGCCCTCCACTCCACTCGCTGCTCTCCTCCCTGGCCCGAGACTCTCCCTGTACCTCTGTCTTTGCCCACCTCCTTTCCCTGGGGTTGCCAGCCTGTGAGCCCGAGACTCACTCACCCGCTGCAGTTTGGCCCAGTTGTCCTGGGCTGACAGTCCATTGAGTGTTCCCACCAGTGGCAGGAAGCAGCCTAGGAAACACGGAGCAAAGGCCCCCTAGGAAGAGAAGTAGGAGCTCTGTGAGAACCCCACTGATCCAGCCAGGCTCACCTTTCCCCACTCCCACTCCCTTCCATGTCACTCACCTGGTCCAAAAACATCTTCTTTAGCGCATCCAGCTTGGTGGTGCCAGGAATGAGCCGGTCCAAAATCTTATACCAGCCTCCTACTACAGGGCCCTGAAAGTGCAGCCCAATATAGGAGCAGGATGTAGGGAGAAGCACCTGGCTTTTATATAACAAAGCTCCTCCCCCAAGTATCAGAGACCAAATCCCAGGGAGAGGCAGACACAAGGCAAAGAGAGAGAAGCAGGCTGGCCTAGGTGGGAGAGCCTAATGGGAACTGCAGGACGGCGGCAAACAAAGACCTCTCCCGGTGCCCTTACAGCCCTGCTGTGGGGAGAACTTACCACAAAGCCACAGCCCAGGAACACCATGGTCCAGGTCCGGCGTGTCTGGTGCTCCTGCAGACCCCGTCTCTCCACCAGCTGCTGTGAGACAATGTCACCCAGGCCCATCAGGGACCCTGTGCAAGGTACACAGGTGACATGAGAGCATCTCCCAAAAGGTAAGTTACTGACCAATGAGGCTCTAGCACTCTGAGCCCCAGGGCTTCATTCTGGGCAAATGACTGATCCCTTCCACCCCAATGCCCTCCTTTCTTCAAGGATAGTGACACTTCACGCATGTCCTCTCAGAAACTAGGATGGGCATGCCAGGAACCAAGAACTGTGCATTAAGCAGTAAAGGGAAGAGTCAAGACAGAAACTGCAGAGGAAGAAGAACCCTATCTGTCAGTGTTAAAAGGCCCTACCGGACCACTTCATCCAAATCCCTTCTTTTAGAGATGTAGAGACAAAGGTCCAGGACCCCGTAGGTGCTGAAATACACTGTTCTTTATATAATCCCACACTATAGAGAGCCACAAGGAACACTGTTTCCTTCCCCCCATCCAGTGTGAGACCCTGGATAATGTTCTTCACCTGGTCTTGGGGTCCCCATCTGTGGGGATAATTTTTTTTTGGTACCCGGGACTGAACTCAGGACCTTGTGCTTGCCTGGCAGGCGAGGCACCACTGAGCTCACCCCCACACCCCTAGCTTTTTCTAAAACATGAGTGCTCAAATGGTTCTACGAGGGAAGACAACTGGGTGAGCTGCAGAGAGTCCACGGAGGACGAGTCACAATCAGCCAGAGCCGGACCCCTCCAGTCCATACCCTCACGTGGAGTTCAAGATAGGTATCAGAGCCGGTTTCCCTGGACCTCCTGTTTCCACGTCTCCCCTAACACTCAGCTCCAAGCACTCCTAGACACCCACACCCAGGAACCAAGACACAAATCATCGGTATTTAGTTATGGCAGCATGATGGTTTCTAGCAAACCACACATACCGGGCCTCCTGGGAGTCACCTGATCTCCAGCGTGCCCATCTAGCTCGCTGGGTAATGAAAGCCCCTCCAGCCCCCCTGAAGCCACCACTGTCCCTGTGCCCTCAATTAGCACTGGACAAACATTTCCTTCAACCCTATTCTTGGCCTGGAGCTGGCCCTGACGTCCATCTGGCTGCACACTCACTGCTCTGCTCTTCCCCCACACCCACTGCACAGCAAGTCCTGGAGCAGACTCGTCAGAGGGGCCGGGGAGAGCTGGGAGCTGTGCGTGGGCACCGGGCAGCTCCGGTTCCACCTATCAAGGTAACAAAGCCTCACCTCCCACAAACTCCCAAAGGGGGTCGTTCCCAAACACTGTTAAGACAGGACCACCCTGGGGAAAAGGGTAGAATCCCATACACTTTTGTTCTCATTCCCTACCACATCTAAGCAAGTCCCCGGCAGATGCTCAGAAGATAAACCAAGATAAAATGTCAAATGTAGCACCCCACACAATAGGAGCACTCTGGAAAAGGCCACTTAGCTTAAGATTCAAAGCTTAGCCTGAAGAACGATGTGTCCAGCTCAGGGTGTTAGGACTGTGGGGAACTGAGGGCTCCCTCCCCACCCTAAACAGCATTTCATCACCCATGCTCCCCCAAAAAGGTAGGGTCACCAGCTGCACCCCCAGGGAGGAAAGAGAGCTACCACAGCCATACATAAAGAGAGGAGAGTAACCCAGACAAGATGAAAGGCACTACCCGCTTCAGTGCCCTTGCACTGAGCCACACATCCAACCCACCTCCTTTTTAAACAGGGTCTTGGGAAGTCTCTAAGTTGCCCAGGCTGGGCTTGAACTTGCAATCCTCCGGCCTCAGCCTCCCAGAGTCTTGAGATTACAGGTGTGTGCCATTATAGTCAGCAAATGAAAGCACTTCTTAAATGAAGGGAGTAACAGTCTGGCAGTCCTTTGGCCAGGTGATTAAAGTTTACAAAGCAGCCCTGGTGTCGCACACCTGTAAAACAAGCGGCTGAGGCAAGAGGATCACCACGAGTTTGAAGCCAGCCTGAACTACATAGTGAAACCCTGTCTCAAAAAACCAAAGGACTCTCACACATAACCCTCCAAAGGTCTGGGGGGTAGGTGGTCACATCTATCTACTGATAAGAACAGTCTTTGGGGGATGAGGTGACTCAGTAGGGAGCAATGTGGGACAAAACCAGGTAGGGAGCAAGGCAGCCTCAGCACAGGCTGAGGCAGGCTCAGAGGCCAGTGGCGAGCTAGAGGCTCCTACATTCCTCCTCTGCAGGGGATTTCTGTGCAAGTGAGACCCAAAGGGCCCACTGTTATGGTTTAGATCTGAGGTGCCCCCAAAAGCCTCATGTGTTTGGAAGGTGATTGGATCACGAGGGCTCTATACTCATCAGTGGATTCTTCTTCGAACGAGCTTGTAGCTGAATGTGAAATTAGGAGGTGGGGCCTGGCTCGAAGAGGAGGCCCACTGGAGGTGGGGTTGGTGTGTGAGACCGGAAGGGTGCATCTCCCTCCAGGCTCTTCTTTCTCTCTCTGCTTCCTGGCCTCCACGCCAAGAGCAGCTCCTACTACGCTATGCCCCTCCACCATGCTGACCGTGGCCTGTGACAGAGCCCAAACAAACCTCTCCTCCCTTAAATTCTGGGTGTTGGGTATTGTATCTCCTCAGTGAGGAAAGTGACTAAGACACCCAACACACCAAAGATGCTTCTGGAACTAAAGGACTTCTGTCTTAACTCCCCAGAATTCCACCAACTCTGTTCCTTGTCACCTTGTGGGGAAGGCAGGCAGCAATATTCCTGGGAAACAGAGACATGGGTGTTTTCACTCTTCATGACTTGCTAATAATCACACAACCGACAAAAGGCGGAGCTGAAATGAAAATCCAAGTCCCTGACCCCACGGTCCTGGAAATTGCAGTCATTTAGAAAGATGGATTCTGGGACCCACACTGTGCCCATTAAACCTGAAGACTACTAAGTGATAGGGCAGCAGGAAGAGGAGTGGGGGCTATGAAGCTCTGTAGCCCCTGCAAGGTCTGTTCATTTTAGATTTTTTATTTTTTCTGGTACTGGGGATTGAACTCAGGTCCTTGTGCTTGTACAGCAGGCGGCAAAACCACTGAGCTAAATCCCTGGCCCAGGTCTGTTCATTTCAGACAAACAGCACCCAGAAGTCTGTCCTCTGTCCACAGACAATTGGGGCTCTTGGACCTGCAGTAACTCTTTAGGACTGACCCAAGCAAGGAGCAAGGCCTGCATTTCTGGCCCCGGTGACCCTTTGAACAGGAACAACTCATTCAGATTCTTCATCCTACCTTCCCCAACCAAGAGCCCAAGCACAAACAAAGCATCCCAGCCCCATGGAGATCTCCCGGACATGGATGGTCTGAATTTTCTAGGGTTTTGGCTCCCCTCTCCTTGGACTTGGGAGCTGGGGCTTGGGGCCTGCACACGCATAATGTCCCGAGTCCTGATGGGGCAGGACAAAAGGCTGCTGGACAGTGATGCCCCAATGCCAGGCTGGGCATGGAGCCCAGAAAATAGATGCTGGTGCAAGTGTGACATCATGCCCCTGGGTAGATGCCAGTTCTCATGCCGTCACTCCCCACCAAATGGGGGGACGCATCCTCTAGGCACAGATCTATTCGGGACCATCCTATGCCCACTGAAAAGCCCCAACTTACACACATCTGAGACATGAGTGGAGGTAAAGTCCCTACTCCCCCTATGTTGTTCCTCCACTGGCTTTTGTATGGGATTTTTGTTGTCGTTTTATTTGTTTCGAGACAGGGCCTCACTATGCAGTCTGGGCTGGCCTTGAACTATCAATCTTCTTGCCTCAGCCTCCCTGACCTTGAACTCTTGATTGTTCAGCTGTGTAGACTCTTACTACAAGAAAATAAAGTGTTAACAGGAAATAAGAAGGCAGGGGAGCAGGAACAAGACAGGAAGTGTGCCCTTGAGCACAGAAGGCTGGGTCATCGGGTAGTGATGGTTACTGGCAGGGGGCAGGCAGTGCGCTGACTCAGAGGCCTCCCACCACCAACTACCTGCCTGGCTGCAGTAGGGCCTTGACCTAGCACAGTGCCCAGGGGGAGTGGAAGCCCAGCCGGGAGGACAGACCACATCCTCTGGGTGAGTCTGAGTGCTCTGCTCATTCCTGCTCTTAACCTATCCTAGGGCTAGAAAACAGGGCAAAATGGATGGTTCTGCAGCTCATCAGGTGCCTAAGCTCACACCAGACCAGGGACTGTACTCATCCTGGCGGGGCCCCAACAGTCTCAGTCTACAGTGCAGGGCAGGTCGGTGGCCAGTAACCTCGGTTTGAATACCAGCTCTATCACTGACCACTGACAAGAGACCTCAGTTTCTTTTTCTGTAACATCAGGGGCTGGACTGGGTGGTCTCTAAGGCCCGCTAACTTCTCACATCCTGTCTTATCTCAGACTCCAGAGAAACCAGTGGCTGCAGGAGCTTAGCTGCTCCTATGGTAGGATCAAGGTAGCCTAAGATAGAGGGAACTGGGCCCTGAGCCCACTGGAGACTGGAAGGGCCCTGGAGAAAGGAAGAGATAAGGCTGACTCAGGCTGTGCAGAACAGTCAACCTTTCCCTGGGCTGCCCTGTTCCTGACTCTGGCCTGGCCAAAACTGGCGTATTACACATTTCTGTTGAACCGTTTCAGATCCTGATTCACCTATGTCTTGCTCCGGCCATTACTGCAGTTCAACCACCTGACAGATCCTTGTTTCAGACCCACGCCAGACCAGGGGCCTCACCACTGATGCCTTCAGTGACTATACTTGTGCGATCTGGCGCTGGGGTGACACTGACCAATGTGGGACGGAAGATGGTGGATTCTCTTTTCTCCAGAAATGACTATTTATCCAGACTGTCCTAAGAAACATTTCAAAGAGTTTCTCAGTCAGTTCCAAGGGACTAAGCTACCAGTAGTCCTTAACAGTGGCCTATATGATAATGTATCCTTACCCTGGTTCTTCCTTTTTCCCCCTGTGGGACTACTTCCTATCCCCTAACCAAATACCTGCACTTAAACTTCATGCTCTACTTTTTGGAAAAAGAAAAGAAAAAAAAAACAATCAAATAAAACCAAGGCTAAGATAGATACTTATACATGTTCAGATTTATGGTAAGTGGAATAAAACCAACTCAAACACCACTATAAAAAGAATTGCTTGCTATGCCTTGGCTGCCAATAATCATAGAAAACGCCAGCCTCTTGAGCTTCCAAGTTTATTATGTATTTAAAAATCTGCCTTATACTGATTCTGTGAGGTCATATAATTTAAGTTCTAAATGAAGACACTGAGGTCCAAAGAAGTTTACTGACTTGTGCTAAGACAGCTATTGAGTGTTATGGCTCTGAGATTTAAATCTTGGTCTTCTAACTCCAATTCTAAAATCTCTGTTCTATTTTCCAGTGTGATGGGTCTCTCCCATGGTGTGTGTGTGTGGGGGGGGCGTCCACAGCAACTACTGTGCTGGGGTCTAAAGCTACTGTGCTAAATCCACTTCCTCCCTTAATTTATAATTTGCTCCAAATACACTAAGTAGCAGAGAAGGAAAATTCTGAAAGGTTTGGAAAGTCTTGTGCTAGGAGGCCACAGGTTGCTTCATGACTAAGCTGGGGTGAGCACAGCCTCAGGAAAACAGAGGGTGTGGAGCCAAAGGACTCTAGCATGGAGAAACTGGAACTCCAGTTCAGCCACATGTCTGCGCTTGGGCCCCCTTGGAGCTTTAGTTGCTGCCTTTGTCAGCTGCAGATCCCTTGGTAGGGAAATATAAGGATTATTCCTCCCTTTCTATTCTTTTTTTTTTTTGGTACCAGGGATCGAACTCAGGTCCTTGTGCTTGCTCAGCAGGCGTCGAAACCACTGAGCTAAATCCCCAGCCCCCTCCCTTTCTATTCTTGATGGCCATGAGGGGGAACCTTCTATCTGGGAGCTGTGGGCCCTGAGGGAATCTGAGGCTGGACAAATTCCCAGCAGGTCGATTCCCATCACAGCCATACAGTACAGCATGAGTCACCACACACGCAGCCAGGTGAGTCATGCAGGCTGATGGACCTTCTGAGGACGGGACAGGAGGTGTTTGGGCACAGGAAGCTGAAAAAGAGCCCACTGAGGGGCAGAAGAGTCCTTCTCCTGGCCAGCTACGCAGTGAAGTTTCTAGTGCTGATGTAGGGCTATCCCAGTAACAGGGTATCTCTTCCACCCTGGCTTTCAGTAGTTCCTCACCACTTCCAACAGCTCTTCTCTGAAGCCCACTGTCCTCATCAGAATACTATTTCCTCCCTTTAAAAACAGGCAAGATCCCATCATAAGTTAATCACTGTTGGCACTGCCCTGATAGTCACAGACTTTCTGATTCTTCCCTCCATAATACGTACCTCTGCACCATCTCCTTGCATTAGCTAACTTGGAAAATGAAGATGGTAATAAATTCAGGGAAATCTCTGGGTTACCTTTGTTAAGACTGCTACTCAGTCACTTGATTTGGAGTAAAAACTCTTAGTATATAGTTTGGGCTAATACTATAGCTAATAAACTGCTAATAAATACAGCTAATAAACTGTAAGAATGCAAAAAACAATGTAAACAAAACTCTAAAGTGGTCATCTCCTGGAAAATGTAAATTAAGGACAGGTGCTCAAGGGGTCCCAAAGGTGGATACTGATACAAAAGTGCTCAATTTAAACTGCAAATACATGTCTTTATTCTTTTGTCTATTTCTCAATGTAAAATACTAACAAAAATATTTCTGGAGTAACTCTTGATTTCAGCATTTATCCGGTGTGTGATCCAATGTAGAATCAAGCAATTTTGACACATAGACCTTTGTGTGGTACTTATGACACAATGTGTATGAAAGTGATTTGTATACCGTAAAGTATTAGAAGGGTGTTTGTTAGTTTTCCAAGTTGGGGCCTCCTCCAGCAATGCCTCATCTTTAAGAATGGACTGCTCAGCTTGTCACAGCTAAGCCAACTATGCATACCCCTTGGAGACTCACCCTCCAAAACAGAGCAGCTTGGGACGAGACAGTCAATTGTTTTAGGGGCTAAACACAAGCAGGAAATGATAGAGGTGCTATAAGTGTGCCTCTGGCTCCCAAATCAGCCAGCTCTGGTCCCAAAAGGACACTTACCAGCCGTCAGGACCTGGACTTTCCACGGATGAGCAGCCAGGGCACGCTGGTACGCCCGCCAGAGTGCCATGCCTCCTGTCAAGCCAAGAGGAGAGGGTCACTGCCACTGCCCTACCAGCAATGAAAGACGCCCGACACTCCCTTGTTACCACTCCCTCTCCTTTTACAATATGTCTAACAGAGGCCGCACGAAGAATCTTCTGGAAAGCTCCGTCATAGGGTCGCCTTAGTCACCTGGGGAAGAGGCAGGTGTGGGCAGCTATGGACTCCCGGGGCCTGCTACCCTGCGACCCCAGTCCTGAAATAGGGGTGCCCAGGGACCTCCGGCCAGGGCCGAGACACCTGGATTCCCCAATAGCCGGGTCGGGCCCCAGATTCACCCAGTTGGAGATAGCCCACATTTGAGTACAGCTCCACACCGGAAACAAGACCCGCTCATTCCCCAGGACCGGAATGGTCACACGCCCTGTGGGCAATCAAGGCGCGTGGGTCTTTGAACTGGCGACCAAGGAACACCCGCCACTCACCCAAATTCCAGCTCCACGGAACAGCCCTGCCCCACGTGACTCGAGAGGCCCGGGACTTCCGCCCAAAGCCCCGCCCCTTCCGCCCACAATCCCGGTGCCCCTCGCAGTCCGGTCCTGAATGAAAGTCAACTGAGTCGTTGATTGCAGTGAAAGGCGGTTCAACTTGGTCACCTACTCTGTGAGCGGCCTCCTCTTCCAAGGAAGCGCGCCACACTGAGGTGCGGCCGTCAGCCATACTGTCCACTCAACCCCCCAGCCTCCTCTCCCGGAGCGTCCGGCCTCCCAACTGGGAGAACCCGTTCCTGTCCACCCCGTCTCCCCAGAACTAAGGACCTGACCTCCTCCACCGTCTCAGGAGTCCTAGGACTGTGATAGTTCGGTGCATACTCTCATTTTTTATCTCTAGGTTGTTCCTCTGCCTTAATTATGAGCTCATCGGTGGGAACAACTAGGTCTTGTTCATATTTGTCTTCCCTAGTTCTGCCCACGAAATTCCCTTTAGAAATACTGCGTGCTACAGAAAGCATTCGAATTATAGAACCTCAGCAGAGCTCAGGTGTAGGCCTTGTAACGGGCTGTGTATCCTTGTCCATCACTAGGATTGAACTATTAAGGTTTCTCATCTGTGAAAGGAAGGGATTTGCACGATTTTTTCCAACTGGGCTCCTCAGTTATAGAGGATTTTTACAGGAGAAGCTAAAAAGGAGAGCATTGCTACAGGTTCTTCTACCTCAAATATTCGTAAAACCATAAACTCCTGGCTGGGTTTGAACTTCATGAGGCTGAGCCCAGGCAATTTAACCAGTCCCTGTCTCTAAAAATTTAAAAATAAAGAGAGGCTGAAGATGTACCTCAGCGTCAAGGCCCTGAGTTTGTTTAATCCCCACTACCTCAAAAAATATGCACTTCTGGAAAGAGCAGGTTTTTTGGAGACTAGTTCAAGCCCGTCTGGAACTTTCTGGCAATTCTCCTGCCTCAGCCTCCCAAGTGCTGGGGATTACAGGTTGTGCACTACCACGCCCAGCTAGAAAGAGCCATTTTAAATGAAAGGGGCCACAAGTCTTTGAAAGCTACTGGACTAGGTGATCTCTTAATCCCCTTCCAGCTCTAGCATACTGATTCCATGAATACAGTAAATGTCTTTTCTAGGATGGTGGAAATTTGTTCATCATCCCTGGTAGTGGATTTATTAGGCTGTCAAAGACTTTCCTTATTTCAGGGAGCCCATACCTCAGGAGGCAGACTTTCAGGCTTTCCACCTGGTTGCTTCCAGCCCCAGTTTACTCAATTCATGTATGATTAAGGCAGGGATAGGGCTAGGAGAATCCTGTCACAAATACTGGAGAAACAGAATAAGGTTGAAAAAGTATTCAATGTAATATTTAACCAAAAGATCTCTTGGAAAACACTATGCTAGAGGGCCAGGGATTTAACTCAGTGGTTCCACTGCCTACCTCGAAAGTGCAAGGTCCCGAGTTCGATCCCCAGGACCAAAAAAAAAAAAGAAAACTACAAAATGCCATGTTAGAGTGAACTTACCCTAGAAAATAGGAAGCCAAATGTGTTATGGGTTGGAGTTACAGTCTTTTTTTTTTTTGTACCAAGGATCGAACTTGGGTCATTCCACTTTCGGGTTAGGCAGTGGAACCACTGAGCTAAATCCCGGGCCTTGGAGTTATATTCTCAAGTCAGACCGTCAGGGTTCCAACTCCAGCACCAGTACTTAGTTATGTGATCTTGTTCAGACTGCTTAACCTCTTAGACCTACCCTCATAGGACTAAGTAATACGCAGAGTACCCAAAGTGCATCAACTATAATACCTGTTTATCCTATTTGTCCTGCCTCCTCCCTTAGGAATACTGAGGAATTTTTACTGGACAAATCTGTGAATCTGCTCACTGAAAGAGGGGCTGAAGATGGATTTTTTTGGGGGGGGGGGAGCATCTAGGGATTAAACCCAGGGTCTTATGGATGCTTTGTTGTATGTGCTCTACCACTGAGCTATACCCCAAGACCTGGGCTTGCATCTTAAAGGATGAATAGAATTTAGGTGAGTTGGTGGAAAAGGACAGTTCTGAAGAAGGCAAGAGTGTAAGTAAAGGCACAAAGGTAGAAAACTGCAGGAACCAAGAGTACGAAGTGCACATATTAGGAAGAAGCATTACAAGTTAAGTGGCCTGGGGAGAAAGAGTTGATGGGAAAAGCAACAGCTGAAAGCATCATTCTGTTTTTCTTTGGGAGGCTGAGATTAGTGCTGAGACTCAATGGCAGGAACAGAGCACCCAACAACTTACAAACTCAGCTCCCAGTTCCCAGGTCTCTTCTTTTCCACCACTGGAGGTAGAAAAGGGGCTGCTGTGTGGTATCAAGGGATTGCTCTGTAGAACACGCAAAACTCTCTAGAAGGCACCTCCTGACCAGCTCAAAAGGCAAAGCTGGCGGCACCTGCCTATAATCTCAGCACTCTGGGAGGCTGAAACAGGATAGCAAGTACAAGCCCTACTTGGGCAGCTTAGCAACTTAGCCAGACCCCACCTCAAAATTTAAAAAATGTTAAAAAGGGACTAGGAGTGTAACTCAGTGAGGAGGCTGTGGGTTCAATACCCAGTAACAAGGATGGGGTGGGGGATGACAAAACAAGACACAACCTGAGCTGGATCACGGCGGGATGGCGTAACACTTGGCTCCTCTGCACTTACATGGGTTGTGGTCTCTAATAGGTAGACCTGGGCATCCTCTAGAACAGTTTCCTCTTCTGTACAGGAAGGAACTGAACTACTCGATTCCATTCTTCTTACAGATTTTCTAACACTGAACAAACTGCCTCTACTAAATAGGCAAAAAGCTATTCCCAGATACATGACCAGCCTGGGGTGCCAGAGTGTTTTGTTTCAGGCAGGCACTAAACTAATCTCTGCTCCCTCCAACAGAGAGCTGTCTCCTTTTTCTCCTTCTCTCTATTCTTTAGATCATCTAACTACTTCCCTTTAAGCCCCGGCCCCAGCCGCAGCCCCAGCCGCAGCCCCAGCCCCAGCCCCAGCCCCAGCCCCAGCCCCAGCCCCAGCCTCAGCCTGTATTCCTATGCATCCCCAGGCCTGTTTCTCCTCACTGGGGTTTGTGCTTGGGCAGTATCATAGGCACTGAGTCTGCAGCATCCACAAGAGAACTTTATCAAGACAATATACTGGTGTTCTTAGGATCTAAACACTTCCTATAGAGTTTGAATAAACATGTATAATAAGTCAACAATGTGACCATATCATGAAGGATCAAAAATCATGAAAAGGTTGAAATAACTGAAGATATTTAATCTAGAGGAAAAAAAAAAAGATTTTGAAAACACATGATAGCTTTTGTTAAATACTTAAAAGGGCAATCACAGGGAAGAATAACTAGATTTCCTATCACCCATGAGTAAAATTAATAGATACTCTGGCTTGCTATAAAGGAAGATTTTAAAAATATGACTGTCTAGGAGTGTTCAAGTAGGGTCAAAAGACCAGTGATTGAGAATATTTCATAAGCAGGAGCAAGTAAGAGCTAAGCTACTGTTCTACCGGTAGGGTGTTTGTGGTGTCCCTCAGTTAAACAAGTACTACAACCAGCTTCAGTCCAACAAATTCTCCTTGGGCCTGTGTGTTGGTTACTGTAAAGAGGTGGTTTGGAAAGGCAGTAACATTGTACCCTGGAAAAGTGACACAGGAGCCTTCATGTGGATACTCTTTGTGATTTGCCAAACACCCACTCACAAGTGGTCTCAAAAACACCCAGTACCTTTACTTAGCTTTACCCACTTCACAACTGCTCAATATGAGCCATTTGACTCCCAAGCCTAGGTCTGGCCTGAGTGTTTCTTGTGAGCCATAGTATTAGGCTGAGGAGCCTTTGTGTAGGAGGGAGAGCCCCCCTGCCCGCAGGGGGCTGTGACCATAGAAGTCTATGGAAGGAGGAGGATCTAAGGAGTCCTGGGGAGGAAGGCCTGAAGGTCCAGGCCTGGCACCACGCTGTCCAAGAAGGCCCTACGGCTCTGTGATGGTGGCCATTTGTTCTTGGCAGACTTCATTCCAAGGGTCCCATGTGGACCAAGACTAGGGACTGGACAGAAGGCGATGGCTGGCTGGAGGGAAGCCGGGCCCTTTAGTTGGGGAGGATGGTTGGAACATAGCACTGAAGTGGGCTTGACTTTCAAGCTGCATACGGTGACCCAGTGGGGAGGTGAGTCCACGGATGAAATGGATCCGAACCAGCCCTGACTGCCCCCCAGATACCAGCCATCCATAGGAGTCCAGGTTTGGGCTGAAACGTACCTGTGAAAATAATAAAAAACCAAAGAGTGAAGGCCCTACATTCAATCCCCAGCACTGCAAATTAAAAAAATAAAAATAAAAAGCTTACACATAGTGCTTTAGGGCAATTCTTAGCTATATAAGCATAAAAAACCAGGCCACAATTTAGGAAGATAGGATCACAACGTGATGAGAAAGGAAGAAAAAGCAGCCATTGAGTGAGGTATAGCTACCATGTGCCTTAGCTATCTACTTTGCCTTGTCATCTTCCATTTCACTGACCAAAGGCCTGGAGCTGGGGGAAATGAGGAGGTGGAGAAGATGAGAGGCAAGAGTCTTACCTTATGAATAGCCTCGAGCTGCAGCCTGTCCAGGCAGAGCTGAGAATGTCCTTCTCCCTCCTGCATGCGCAGCATTGGTTCTCTATGGAGCAGATTGTGAAAGGAACCCTGGGGAGCAGAGGCCAAACAGGAGGGAAGCAAACAACTCCTTAGTTTGACATCTTTATACTGGAATTCCTAAGGATTCCTTACTCTACAAGCACTAAAGTTTCCTACATTTTCTATGTCACGCCTCAACTTACCAGATCTGTGTCTTGAAAGAGCAAGTAATGATGGTTGACAGTTTCAGCATATGTTCGAGCCTTGGGAGGGTCAGGGGCCCCAGATGAAGCAGAAGAATGATCTTGACCTTCAGGATTGTCCTGATATGGGACCAGATCTGCCTTATATACAGGCTAGAAAGGAGACCATAAGATTAGGTTTTATAATGCTGAACACAGAATAAAAGCAGAGGAAATTGGTTTGGGGCAGGAAAGTCTTAAAGATGGAAGAAAGTAGTATATTTAAATATGTGCTCAGTTGTAATAGGGTGGGAAAGATTATACACAATTCTGTGCCAAGGTGGTATCAGGGCTGGGAGACTGAGTACTAATTTGTACTCTACCAGGAGCTGGGAAGGGATGTAGATTAGGATCCAACAGATGGTGCAGCCGTTAGATGTTCATATACGTACGAATCTTCGCTCTGCTGGTCGCTTGACATTTATTGGGTTCGATGCCATGTCAGGCAATATAGCTGCAATGAGCTCCCCAGATATATCTCCTGCAGCTATTGTCCCAAGCCAGTCAGATCCTGAAAGACTCTAATAGGAAGAGACATATTTCATTCATTCATTCATTTACCGTGCACTGACAATGACTGCACAGTCTGAGGGTAGAGTAGTACACACACACACGAGGTTATCAACTTGGCACAGTGGCACATGCTTGTAAGTCCAGCTCTCTATAGAGGCTGAGGCTAGAAGATCACAAGTTTTACCCCAGCCTAGGCAACACAGTGAGACTTTTCTCAAAATTAAAAGAACTGAGAATGTAGCACAGTGCAAAGGCCCTGGATTCAATCCCTAGTTTCACCAAAAAAAAAAAAAGTTTATCATAACCACGTCCCTGATAATACAGTTGCTATACTGCTATTTCCTCCTTCTATCCACAACTACTGTGGCTTTCTGACTATCACTAGGGAGTTAAAGGACCACTTCCTGTGTAATGAAGACTATGGGAGAGAGGTGCTCACCCAGACAGTGCCTTTTCGAGGAGCAGTGAAGTAGGCCTTGAAACCAAGGTAACCAGCATCAATATAATGAATTCCACAGAGTCCATAACTGCATCAGAAAAAGAAATAAAAAGTAAAATTTTCCTTCTTATATTCCTTTCGTCTTCCCAGTTTCTTCCAGAATTCACACTACTTCAGTGGACCAACTCAACCCTTCTCTCCCCACAACAGTATGGCACATCTGCATCCCAACCCTGAAGGCCTGTCCCCAGAGCTCCTCCTAGCTCCATCTTGCCGTACGAGGCATAGCAGTTGTCTTGAGCCACAGTGACACCGTTGTAGGGCAGCAGCCAGGCCAGTTCTGTACTCAAAAAGCGCTTGATAGAGTTTATTGGTTCATAAGGTCGCCGAAGGTCCCAGAATTTGATTTTCCGGTCACTCCCCGCAGAGACTAGGAAATGACTGAAAAAATGGGAGAAGATCCAATCTGACCCAATCTGGAAGAGTCAGCCTGTCCCCATCTTCACCTTCCCACCACACATCTCTATTCCATACCTGTTAGCTTTGCACCACTGAAGTGTACGCACCGCCTGGTCATGGGCTAGGAAACACTGGAAGGGGTAGAGCTTTAAGGAACCATCCGAGAGCCGTATGCGCAGCAGCGGTGAATTACTGGGAAGGTTCCAGAAAACCACCATGCCTGAAGTAGAGATAGAAGATGTAGGCTTCAAAGGTAGATTCTCGCTTCTCTGTTCTAATTTCTTTCTCTGGGTTCCTAGGACCTTGGTCTTCTACCCTTAGGTCCAAATTACAATGAAAGAATGTGGGGATCATAATTATCTGCTTAATACTCCCTCCAAAATTTAAAGACTCAATCTGATATTTTAGTCCTAATTCTCATCAACAAAAAAGTAACAGCTTAACCAGGGATATGCAGTTGAAAGATGACAGGTTGAATGTATGTAGTGACCTCTACTCCATATTAAGTCAAAATAAAGAGATTTTTTAAAAAGCATGAACCTTCTAAGACAAGAGTTGACAAACTATAGTGCATGGACCAAAATAGCTGCCACCTGTTTTGGGGTTTTTTTTTTTTGGTATTTGGAGATTGAACTCCGGACCTTGTGTTTGTGAGGCAGGCGGTGGAACCACTGAGCTAAATACCTGGCCTAGCCACCTGTGTTTGTAAACAGTTTTACTGGAACACAGTCACACCCATTTGTTTACCCAGTGTCTATGACTGATTCCACATTCTAATGGCAAAACTGATTGGTTCCAAAATGGCCAGATACTCACAAAACCTAAAATTATTACTATCTGGGTCTTTACAGAAAATGTCTCCTAACTTTGCTCTAAGACAAAGAGAATAGGCAAGGAGCCAAAAGTAAGGAAGAGAAGAAAACATATAGACAAACAGAAACTAATTTGGCTAAACCCAAACATGAAGGTACTTTCAAAAGTATAACTTTGATAAAAATAAAAAACAAAGAACAATAATAAAAAAATCTTAAAAACAATAGCCAGGAATATATTTGTTTGTTTTCTGGGGATCGAACTCAGGGCCTTGTGCTTGCAAGGCAGGCACAGTGCCACTGAGCTAAATCCCCAGCCCAAGCCAGGAATATATTTGTAGCTAAAACACCTTTTATACCTAAACTCAGAGAATGTAGCACCTATAAGCCTTTCTCAAAAAACTTTATCAACAGTGATATATGTAAGTAATAAAAATACAGTAATTCACCAATGGGGGGGACTAAGAGAACTGGTGGAGACAGACCCTCATTACATCACCTTAGGCATTAAAGATAGCAGAACGGCATAAAGCATGTACCCTGACAATGTAAGAACAATGCCATCAAAAACAAAAACAAATAGGCTGGAAATGATGGTGCATGCCTGTAACCCTGGCACTCTAGAGGGTAAGGCAGGAAGATCATGAGTTCAAGGCTGGCCCGGAGTGGACTCTGTCTCAAAAAAACAAAAGAAAACCACTAACCAATCAAACACACAAACAAAAAGAAGATGGAGAGTGATCACATGGGAGGTAAGAGTGATAATTTCCCTTCTCCTAGGAGAAAGTCTACTGATAATGTCTAAAAATCAAACTGTCATCTAAAGAAGAAAAAAAAACCTAGTAATTTCAGTAGCTTAGTACTATTATCTCTTTTTAATCGTTTTTGTAGGTAGTTCAGGCTGACTTTGACCTCACTATGTAGCCCAGGCTGGTCTTGAACTCGAGGTGGTCCTCCTGCCTCAGTCTTCTCAGTGCTGAGGTTATAAGCGTGTGGTACCACATCAGCTTTTTAATCTTTTTTCTTAATCTTAAGTTTCTTTGAGGAACTTGCCTCTCTTTATATATACCTAGAAAACTGCATGAACTTACATTCATCTACTCAATTTTTTTTGAGTAGAGAAATTCCAGTAACATTTCTTTCTTCTTTTTTTGGTACTGGGGATCGAACTTGGGACCTTGCACTTGTGAGACAGGCAGCAGCACCACTGAGCTAACTCCCCAGCACCTCTTTGTATTTTTTTACCTTGTTTGAGTATTTATAGTTATATATAATACCCAGCGCTGAACCAAAAAGGGAACAATCAAAAAAAAAAGAATATATTTTTTTAAAAAAGAATATATAAAAAGTTTCTTTTTTTTGAGAATATAAAAAAACCCTGCAAGTGCAGTAACTGTTTTATTCTGCTTTTTACCATTATAGTATCCAGCGGCCAGATGGTGGTGGGGCCTGGTAGGCATCCAGGCCAGGCTAAGGCACTGACCACATTCAGAGGGGTCTGAAGCTTGCACAGACCCCACCTGCAGGGTTGCCACACACTGTACCTGCAGGGACAGAAGAGACAGGCCTAGGGTGAGAGTGTCTGGAATGAAGGATCTACTCAAGAGTTTAAGACCACAGAAAGAGGCACATTTCACAAGTAGGCAGCTCACTGTGGAACTGGTAAGGTGAGACTCTAAAGACGACAGAGCCTCAGTTGAGGTAGAAGCGTTCTTACCTTATAGATGGCAGGCTTCATCGCATCTGTGGAGGAAGAAGAACAGGAGCTGATGCTTTGGATCCAGAGGGCTGAGCTCCCAATCAGGACCACAGGCTTTGGACAAGCACTTTTCCTCATTCTTTGAAGCCCTAGCTTTCCACCATCAAACTTCTGACCCCACCTCTATCTGCCTCCATCTTTTGTTACACCTGCCAGTACCCTTCCTCCTGTCAGAATGGCTAACCCCTTAACTATGCTCTCTTGTCCCTCTCATTCATTCTAGATCTTTACTCATTTGGTTATCCTTCTGTTCTGTATTATCTATTTGCTCTCTTCCTGCTGGATCATTACCTTGTAAACAAGTCCTAGTGGCTCCTCTACAAAGTAACAGACAAAAACCTTCAGTTGTCCTTATTCACAATGCCACTGCCCTCATTTATTTACTCTCCCTCATAGCTAAACTTCCCAAAGGAAACATCTATGTTTACTGTCTTCATTTTTCTATTTCCTAATTTCCATCTTCAATCCACTCCTCCATCGGACCAGCAGGGCTTAAACCTGGGTGATGACTTTTTTTTTGGTACCGGGGATCAACTTGGGACCTTGCACTTAAGAGGGAGGCGGTGGAACCACTGAGCTAAATCCCCGGCCCTAACCTGGGTGACTTCTATAAATATTCAATACTGTTGAAAAGCACATAGGAGCTACTTTTCCCTGATCCTGCCTTGTTGCTCGGCTTCAGCTGTAACTCTGTCATAACCGACAGATTATGTGTACATGTGTGGTGTTGGGGACAGCAGGAGCTAAGAGTAGGACTGAGGGGACAGGAACAAGAATATGGCAGGGGAGACACCCCATCCGTCAGCTTTTTTATGGAGCCAATTAACATGTGCAAGAGAGGGGCC